CTTTCCCTTATATGTATATAATAAGTCATTGTCATTACGTGGCTGTCAATTTGACATGGAGGATGTCCCCGTTACATGTTGTTCTTTCCTAGTAACATGCCCGATGCTTCTTTCTGGCTGTGTCTAGTTTACGGCACCTGAAATTTAACTGTGCAGAGTTTATCTGGCAAAAGGAAAATTCCCATTTCTCCCAGGAGACATTTCTGAAATCTTATAAGTTACTTAACCTGCACTGTCAGTTTTGTTGCAATGATGTTTCATATTTTAGCCAAAAGTTTTTATACTGAGAATTCAGAATAATTTTCCACATTAAAACAGTTGATGGGCTTCCCTGGTGGCGCAGTGGTTGAGAGTCCGCCTGCCGATGCAGGGGACACGGGTTCGTGCCCCGGTCCGGGAAGATCCCACATGCCGCGGAGCGGCTGGGCCCGTGAGCCATGGCCGCTGAGCCTGCGCATCTGGAGCCCGTGCTCTGCAACGGGAGAGGCCACAACAGTGAGAGGCCCGTGTACCGCAAAAAAAAAAAAAAAAAAACAGTTGCTATACTATAGTGTATGTCTCCTACTTCGAAGTAGATGGTTAGATAGCAAATAGAATTTTGTGACATTTTATGGAGCCCTCATTGTCAAAACCTTTAATAAAAGTGAAAAAGTTGTGATATGCACTTTTCCTTGATGCTAATGCATCCACCTGTCTCTGTCTACATTTCATGATAAAATGAGTGCTTTGCAAAAAATGTTAGCCTTTTTGTTGTAAATATAAAGGGGAAGAGCTGTTTCTTAAAGTCGTCACTTTTACATTAAGCCCGTGCTTTAGAGGGTGGCTGTCAAGTACTTGTCGCCCCTATTGTATGAGATAGTACAGCCCTTTAGGAAGCTTAGATCCTAATTCACTGTGAGTAAAAACAGTGATACTTTATGGTGAGAACGTCAACCAAACCAAATTTCAATTTTTAATAAAAATAACTTTGAATCATGTTAACGATTAAAAAGTATATAATACTTAGCTCAGTTCTTCTTGGTTAATGAAATATCTATGTTAATGTGAAGATAAGTATTTAGAATTATGATTAAAGTGATGATTTTATGTAGGAATTATGATCCTACTGCTATTATATATATTTTTTCTTATCGAGTGCATATTTTCTACTGTCTTACACCCCCTTACCTACCCCACCCCACCCCCTCTTGGAAACATGTTTCCCAGGGACACGGTATTGAGGTACTCTGTATGCTGCAGTTTAACAATAAACATTTATTAAGAGCCTACCCTGTGTTAGTACTAATATCATTAATTAATCATCTGGACCAGCTTGATGAACCTGTTTTCTCTATGCTGTTGATATTAGTACTTTCCACTGAAAATTACCTTAATGTGTGTCAATACTGGCCTTGCAGAAAGCACTCATGACCTTTCTGTTGCCAAACCCAGGATACACTTTCTCGCCTTACCTTATAGACCCTATTCATTATACCCTGCTTAGTACATTTTATTGCCGGGCCCGTATGACACCATTCTTTTGTACTTTTCTCCCTGCCTCCCTGCCTACTCTTCATTGTTTGTGGCTTGCTAATCTTTTGTGTCACCTACACCCACAGCTCTCACTACCATACCATATTCTGTGAGATTCCATTCTTTTCCCCCCTGGTCCTTTTTCCTTTCAAAGCTTGGGCAACTTCAAGTTCCAGTGGTCACCAGTGTGACGGTGACTGCCAAGTCAGGATCTTTAAGCCCAGACCTTGCTCTTGACACAGACCACTTGATCATTTGACGTTAGTCATCACTGAATCAATAACGTCTCCCCCTCCCCAGGCGTTTTCCCTCCTATATTTTCTGTTAGTAAATAGCATCACCGTCAGTCAGCTGAGGTGCCTCAGGCACTTGCACCCTTCACGTCCGTTCAGCAAGCTCTAGTCCATTTCCTGCGTTTCTCAAAACTGCTCTCTCCTTCCACTTGTTGCCTTTACTCTGACTACTAACGGGCGTCCTTGCCTTGACTGGTAACCTACTCGGGCCTACCCATCAAGCCACTCTAGCCAGAGGGAGTTTCCTAAAATACAGTCTGAGCCCGAACACCCCTCTGCTTAAAATCCACACACATACCCCTTACCTGTTTAGTTCACAGGCTATTTCGAACCAGGCTGGCCCCTGTCCGCTTCCTCAGCCTTGTCCCATGCTGCCCACGTTCACCTTTGACCCCCTGCCACACCACACTGGGTGTTGGTACCCATGGCTCCAGGTCTTCAGATGGTTCTTATTTGCCTTCTTTCCATTGCTAATTCCTACTTGTCCTTGAAGACTCAAAATCAACTTGGCTCCTTAAAAAAATTTTATTTGAATGTCTGTTTCCTCCATGGACCAGACTGTATATTCCTCCAGGTGATGCTGCTGTCATTCAACTATTTAGTTTTCCTGCTTTTACCATGTTAAGAAATTGAAGGATAAAAACCATATCATAATATCAATAGATGCAGAAAAAGCTTTCAACAAAATTCAACACCCATTTATGCTAAACTCTCCAGAAAGGCATAGAGGGAACTTACCTCAATATAATAAAGGCCGTATATGACAAACCCACAGCCAACATCATTCTCAATGGTGGAAAACTGAAACCATTTCCACTAAGATCAGGAACAAGACAAGGCTGCCCACTCTCACCACTATTATTCAACATAGTTTTGGAAGTTTTAGCCAGAGCGATCAGAGATGAAAAAGAAATAAAAGAAATCCAAATCGGAAAAGAAGGAGTAAAACTGTCACTGTTTGCAGATGACATGATACTATACGTAGAGAATCCTAAAGATGCTACCAGAAAACTACTAGAGCTAATCAATGAATTTGGTAAAGTAGCAGGATACAAAATTAATGCACAGAAATCTCTTGCATTCCTATACACTAATGATGAAAAATCTGAAAGAGAAATTAAGGAAACACTCCCATTTACCATTGCAACAAAAAGAATAAAATACCTAGAAATAAACCTACCTAAGGAGACAAAAGGCCTGTATGCAGAAAATTATAAGACACTGATGAAAGAAATTAAAGATGATAAACAGATGGAGAGATATACCATGTTCTTGGATTGGAAGAATCAACATTGTGAAAATGACTATACTACCCAAAGCAACCTACAGATTCAATGCAATCTCTACCAAACTATCAATGGCATTTTTCACAGAACTAGAACAAAAAAGTTCACAATTCGAATGGAAACACAAAGGACCCCAAATAGCCAAAGCAATCTTGAGAAAGAAAAACGGAGCTGGAAGATTCAGGCTCCCGGACTTCAGACCATACTACAAAGCTACAGTAATCAAGACAGTATGGTACTGGCACACAAACAGAAAGATAGATCAATGGAACAAGATAGAAAGCCCAGAGATAAACCCACACATACATGGTCACCTTATTTTTGTTAAAGGAGGCAAGAATATACAATGGAGAAAAGACAGCCTCTTCAATAAGTGGTGCTGGGAAAACTGGACAGCTACATGGAAAAGGAGGAAATTAGAACACTCCCTAACACCATACACAGAAATAAACTCAAAATGGATTAAAGACCTAAATGTAAAGGCCAAACACTATAAAACTCTTACAGGAAAACATAGGCAGAACACTCTTGACATAAACCACAGCAAGATCCTTTTTGACCCACCTCCTAGAGAAATGGAAATAAAAACAAACAAATGGGACCTAATGAAACTTAGACGTTTTTGCACAGCAAAGGAAACCATAAACAAGAATGGGAGAAAATATTTGCAAACGAAGCAACTGCCAAATGATTAACCTCCAAAATATACAAGCAGCTCATGCAGCTCAATATCAAAAAAACAAACAACCCAATCCAAAAATGGGCAGAAGACCTAAATAGACATTTCTCTTTCCTTTTGTTTGTTCACTTGTTTTTTAGATTCCACATGTAAGTGAAATGATGCTGTATTTGTCTTCCTCTGTCATTAAATTCATTTAAAAAATCTTTCCTGTATATTTGTACTTTGATTGCAAAGTGCCTCAAGTCCGTATTGGAAACAGGGTACAAAGTCATTTTTATTAAATCACTAAAAATTATTACAGCCTTACTGTACCCAAGTCAAACAACAGAGAAGTGACTACAAAATCCCTTGCCCTGCCCCCATCTATGTAACCAGTTAACAGCATTTGCAAATAACTGTAATGTCCCATTTCTCCAACCTCAGTTTCCTCCTCTGTAAAATCTAGGCTGCCTGCAATACTAAATATCCTCTACGTCCTCGTCTGCTGAGATTTTGTTGAACTTTTCTTTCTATACTTTATATAACACAATGCACATAATGTACGGAATATAGATTTTTAAATTATGCATTTTGCACGCTGCTTTTTCAACTTTCATACACGTCTTCCCTTGCCAAATCGCAATACGTCAGAGGGCGTCTACCCCAGATTAATCAGACAATTTGAAAACATAGCTTTATATTCGTCTTATGTTTTCTTTTTTGAAAGCTTGCCTGACAAATTTCCTTCTCTAGAACAATGGCTACTTTAGAGTTCTTTATCAGTCACGTGAGGCTAACAACCCCTCATGATAATCAGGTTGCTCTGAGGATGTGATGAGATTAGATGTGGGATGGGACTCATAAGTGCTGGCCATTTGTACTTCCTTCTCCCTGCAAAGCCTGGAGAGTGAAAAGAAGTCGGGGGTAGGGGGGTTCTTAATTAATTATCGTCCACCCCCGCCTGAGCAGGTATGTGGAGCAGAGAGCTCTGTAGAGGAGATTTCCACGTGAGGTTTCTCTTTCTTTCCCCTGCCGTCTACACCTACATCCAAAGCCGGTTCTACCGATCCCCAGAGGTGATCCTGGGCCATCCCTACAACATGGCCATTGATATGTGGAGCCTGGGCTGCATCATGGCCGAGCTGTACACGGGCTACCCCCTGTTCCCTGGGGAGAACGAGGTGGAGCAGCTAGCCTGCATCATGGAGGTGGGGGGGACCCGGCTGCCTTCCAGCCGATGCCCTCGGGAGGGGTAACTTCCGCTCCCAGACTCCAGGCTGCATCGGACTCGCCTAGGGCAATGGCCTGCATCCGTTTACGGGACAGGGTTGGATGTTTTGAAATTATGTACGCTTCTGAGTTGACATCTAACCTTTTTATCATAAATTTAAGTAACTGCAAAGGATGTAACTTCCAGCATATTGTGAATAGTGACATTTAAAATAAAACTGTTATACCGGTCTTTCAAATATATTCCAAAGAATCTAAAAACCAGGCTGACGTGACACCCATTGAAATCTGCGCGCTGTTCAGTTGTTAGTTACCATCTTAACTTTCTGGGAAGAATATCACCCAATGAAAAGGCTTTACTAAGACTCTCATACGATTATTTATTATACCTGCTATTCTTTTACTTAAAGGCATCTTGTTAAGCCAAATTAGACGACGTGGGAGAAAATAATCCTAAAAATTGGAAATTTCACATTTTAGGATTTCCCCAGGGAACAGAGATATTTTTGACTCTGAACAAAGACATATCTAATTCCTCTCTCTCTCAACCTATCTATCCATTCATCCCAAATCTCCATTTTCTAGATTGTCTTCAAGGTTGGTTGGGGAGACACATACATCCTTGAGAATTAATGTAGAGATTCATCTTATGGTTGAAACTGATAATAAAGTATTCCACTAATTTAGTTAGTAGTAGCTATAAATGATAGCTGTGGTGGGATGAACACTGCCCTGGAGATCAGTAAACCCGGAGGCTCTTGCTGCGTAAGAAAGGACGTTATTGGGAGCTGCATCGTCATCCGTGTTTCCCAAATTTTATTTGATTATAAGAATCATTTGGGTTCTTGGGGAAAATGCTAATCCCCAGGATCCTCCTATGGTATAGTGTGTTTGAGGTGGGACTCAGGAGTCTGTATGTTTTTTACAGCAGCTTATGATGAGGCGAGTTTGGAAACACTATATCCACTTAAGTTCTTGGCTCTCCCTTCCCCAGGTTTGGGCTGCCGACAGGTCCTCAGCCCCCAGCGACTCCTAGTTAATACCCTTAATTAAGAGGAAAGTTGTTTCTTCAAAGGTAGCAAGATATGTAGGTGCTCCAGGCAGCAAGAGGAGGTGGGGAGAATAATGAGATATTGGGGAAGGTCAGAGAGGTAGGAAAAACTTGTACAAGAAAAGCAATTACATAAAGATGACTGTAGGAGCTATGTTATTTGTAAGCCCGTGAATCTAATTCTTCTTTGGCCATTTATGAAAAGACGATATAGGATAAGGTGGGAGCCCTGGTGCCACAGTCAAAAAGGAGTTCACAGGACCTATGCCCTATGCAGTACCCCCAGCCCATTTTTTTCTATATAAACACACAGATACCCATGTGTGTATATACACACATACACACATTCATGGGCTCTTCTAGGAATTCAGTAAGAGCAGGTGTTCTGTTGGACGCCCTGCAAATTGTATTGGTTGCAAAAGTAATTAGAAGCATTTCATTATGTACTTTCCAGGATGTCCATTGTATGAACCCCGAGTTTTTGTGAGAATTTCATGGAATGTGTCAATTTTGCATGTGTGTATATACATATCCGCCCTTTTACATGTATATTTACAAGGTGTGAGCATACATGGTCACCTCTCTGAACATGCTCACCACGACCTAGATGTCCAAACGAATGGTCCTGCCTTCAAGGCATTGCACTGTTTTCTCAGGCCACCTTTGGACCTGTCTTCAGGGGTTTCTTTTCAGCAATGACAGAAGATACATTTGGTGAGGGCTTTAATCAGTGGAAATGGCTGAAGAAAATCATTCCAAGCAGTGTCTTAAGCCACCAATCAAGTTTGATCATTCCAGTTATGGACAAAATTTTGACACGACTGTAAACATAAGAAATGAGGTTAACTTGCTTGTGTGGCTTGTACATGACCTCTGAAAGTCAGTCCTCCTACAATGACTTTCCTGTTATTCCCCATGGGTGTCCCAAATTCTCATGTTTTGGGGTGAGGAAGGATCAAGGGCATAGATAAGCCAAGAATGGACAACAGGCTTTTTGTTCAGAGTGGACCGTTTCTGTCACTTCAGATTTACTTTATTATTATCATCGTCATCATCATCATCATTATCGTTAGTATTTTACGTTGGTTAATGTTAAACCATTAAAATCATTTGATTGATTCCAGGAGGAGGAGGTGGTGGCTCAGAACATGCCGAGTAGTAGGAAGTTATTTGTAAAAGTAAATTGTATTCATTGGATAATGTACATGTGGTTATTTTAAACTAAGACTGCGGGTGTGTTTGTCTGTGTGTGAGGGGGCGGGAGAGCTGCAGAGACCACTCCCAGAAGCAGCATGGTTGAGTGAACAGCTGTGATGTGACCAATGCATATTCACACCTGGAACTAAACACATAATGTTGTATCTCTAAAGATTCCAAAGGTTTTCCTAAAAATATAACCAACAACAGGGGGAAAAAAGGATACCCGGATTCCAAGGATCTCACCATGGTGCTGAAAACCTACGACACCGGTTTCCTGGACTTTCTGAGAAAGTGTTTGGTGTGAGTTTTGTCAGGGTGTCTTTGCTTCTGGGTTTCCTCTTAAATACTGTACTTTCCCACATGTTTGCTGGTGAAAGTCTGGGGCTGGGAGGCAGTCATGGGACATAATAAACACGGACCATAGATCTTTAGAGTCTACGAGATGCTTTCCTATCTGTTGCCTCATCAGACTGCTCTCTCCACTGTCCATCCTGTGTGGTCAGTGGGACAGACGACTTGATGTTTTGAGACATGGAGCCTGAGGCTTGAGAGATTAAGTGACTTGCCCTGGGTTACACAGCGTGTGGGTCGAGCTTGCTTCCTTCTTGCCCTGACTGCCTGGAAGCAAGGTTGTAGGCAAGTCCTCAATGTTTTCTGCTTCATGAACTGAAGCCCAGGTCTTCAGAGAGTCTGTTGTATCAATAACTATTTGCATACATGCCCAGTACAAGCTGGTTTCAGGCCCCTTCCCACCCATTCCCCTAGGATTTAGAGTCTAAATCCTCTCATATTAGGGAACTAGGGAAAGGGCAATCTATAAACCATTTATTATGTACAGCTTTTTAGAATCTATAGGCATATTTTGAATCTTAGAAAGTAGGCTCTACACTTCACCCGTCATAGTACTGATAAAAAAAAAAAACCCCAATAGTCCATAAAGCACCTTAGAACAGTACCTAGTTTAGAAGGTATTTAGAAAATACTAGCTGTCGTCACCAATTTTAAAGAGGTTATGCAAGTCTGTCTCCACTGAGTGGCAAATAAATTAGCCACGTGATATTGGACAAGTCATTCTCTCTCTGGGCTTCAGTTTCCTTTTCTGTAGAGTGGGGTATTACTAAGGTCTCTTCCAGCTGTATTAGTCCTGTAACTGTTCGGTATTTTTAGAAGACCATATCTTTATGTTCTCTCATTCCTTCAGTGGGATGGAGTAGTTTTAGCAAAATACTACTCTTCTGGCATTTGTGCATCTGGAGTTTAGGTACTAGCTCAGAATATAAACCACCAGGGACTGCCCAAAGTTTTCCCATCTGTGGGGTCATGCTACCCATCTGAAAAATGGAGACAGAGAAGGATCATGACCCCCACTCCACCCCAGCCTCTTGCTGAGGCGATAGAATGAGTGGCCATTAACTCGTAACAGAAACTCAGTACTGAGACAGAGGTGGGTAATCCAGAAACTCAGAGCCAGGAATGAAATTATTCTCCTTTTTAGTGCAAAGGGCTGGTTGCTCACACCTTGTAAGAGGCAGTCATGCCGTCAGGGCCTGTTGTTTTATTACTTCGTATTTGGCTAATTAGCAAGTCTTTGAGAGACTAAAAGTTTTGGGTCAGATTTAATAGGGATAAATGTAAAGTTCTGTGTCTAGATTTTATAGGCTAACTCTAGGAGTTCAGGAGAGGCGAGGTGTAGCTTAACAGCAGTTCATTGGACAAAGAACTGGGAACTTGAGTTGTTTAGACCTCGATGAGTCTGAAATATTAATGCCATCTCCTTGCAGTTAGTAGCTATTCCCAGCATGACGGACACCAGTTAGATAACAGCTGAGATTTCCTATCTAGGAAGAAACTGATCATGTCATATGGTCAATAATTAATTAGTAGTCATGTAAATGTTTTCAGATAGTTGAAGGGTTGTGACATAAAAGATGGATTAGTTGTCTCATTCTGTGTGATGCTAATGGGTAGAATTTAAGACCGGGTCAAAGTTACTAGGCCAAAAGTCCCTGAGAAGTGAATCTTGGCTCAATCAAAATGAACAACTTTTAAAGAACTGGAGTTTTTTAAAACTGGAATAGCTAGTTCTGTGAGTTAGTGCCATGTTACTAAAATTACTCAAGAAAGGCAAGATGATTCCATGGTGGGTCAAGTGTATTTTGTCAAGTGTATTTTGTTACTGCATTAGCAGTTTGGATTATCTCCAAGTCCCCTCATGATCTTAATATTCTAGTGTTCTATAATGTTCTTTGTAATATATTTGGAGGTCCAAATTCCATAGTTTGGGAATTACAATTAAGCATCTCTTCATTTTGATGTTCTTAGTTTATTAAACCCTAAATCCCACTGGTTTAGACTTTCTATATTTCTTGTAACGGAATTTGGGCTCTGAGATATTCCTTGGCTTGTCATACACATTTTCTAAAAAGATCATTTCCAATAGTTGCCTCCAGGTACTTTAAAATTATATGTCATAAGCTCTGTTCTATGGTCCCTTTGAGTTTTAACATAGCTTAAATGGGTTCTTTAAAAATGAACCATTTTTATATCTTATTGAGGTTCTTTATTGGGGTCTTTGAAAATATTTCATTATTAAAAAGGGAAATAAAATCCTAACCAATGCTGGGCTTTGTTGGTGTGTAGCTGGGAGCCTTCTCTTCGCATGACCCCTGACCAGGCCCTCAAGCATGCTTGGATTCATGAGCCGCGGAACCTCAAAGCACAGCCCAGGCTTCAGACCTTGAGGAAAACCAGTCTCTGTTTCCCTTCTGAGGCCAGGAAGGGCAAGGTTCAAGGGCAACATCACTTGGGCCAAAAAGGTACAGTACCTCAAACAGCCAGTCCTATTCCATAATCCAGGGGGTCAGACATCTCTGGAGGATTGCATGCCAATTTCTCTGAGCTCAACCTTGGTTAATTATTTGGCTTCATCACTACTGGCCTGCCACTTCTCAATTTGGGGATTTTCCTCTTTCAGGAAACTTGGTTGTGGCTGGCTTCTCCTTCTTTTTTGCCCTCATCATTAGGAATTTCCGTGTTTCTCCTATCTCCAATTCCTATTCCCCTCCTTTCCTTTTCTTTCAATGTGTCCTCCTCTGCAAGCCCTATAATTACCTTTTGAATTTTAATCAGATTATGGAATTATGCAAGTATCTTTTATATGCAATATAGCCTCATGGTTATGTACTTGGTCACTGGAGTCAGGCTGCCTGGGATGAAGTCTGGCCCTACCACTTACCAGCTGTGGGCCCTTAGGCAATTTACTTAACCTCTCTGTGCCGCAGTTTCTCCATTTATGAGAATGAGAATAATGCCTATTCTCTCTGGTTGCAGGAAGGATCAAAGGAACCAGTAAGTGTAAAGGGCTTAGAATAATGCCTGGCACACAGAATGTGCTTTACAAATGACTTGTTTTTGTATCCTTACAACCAGATATCCCCAAAATGACTTACAGCCTAATGGACAGTTAGAATGTAATTCATATTTGAACACTTACTTGTTCCTGCTCTCTCCTCTTTGGCAGAGGTGATCCTTCAAATAGAGACTAAAGACAAAATCAAACAGGATCAGAACTCAGGTGGTCAGCAGGGCTCTTCACACAGCTGAAGTCCAGCTGCCTCATCTAGCAGAAGCTTCCGGAAAGCCCGAGGCAGTTGTTGGGCCAGCGGAGTCCAAGACCTCCACAGGACAACAAAACAGAAACCGCTCCCCCAGGGCTTCCCTGGTGGCGCAGTGGTTGAGAGTCTGCCTGCCAATGCAGGGGACACGGGTTCGTGCCCCGGTCTGGGAAGATCCCACATGCCGCGGAGGAGCGGCTGGGCCCGTGAGCCATGGCCGCTGAGCCTGCGCGTCCGGAGCCTGTGCTCTGCAACGGGAGAGGCCATAACAGTGAAAGGCCCGTGTACCCCAAAAAAAGAAACAAAAAAGAAACCGCTCCCCCAAGAACACAAACATTTTACCACCTATCGTGTGACCTGAGAGGAGGGTGTGTCCTGTTCCTTTCCACCAGTGATTTGTATTAGAGACAGCACTTATATTGTACAATACGTAAGACTGTTGTTTTTTAATGCATAAAGGTTTAAAAAAAAAAACACCTCTATTCACATGGCCTATTGGCATGATTCCTATGATGAGGAATTGGAAAGGATGTCCTTGCACCCATGCTCCTTCCTTATGCCCTCAGTCAAATACAACAATGGGTGCCTGTGTGGGGAGATGGGGTGGGGAGAGAGTTAAGTACTCAGTGTTACAGCATCACTGAGAGGATTCTAAATAATAAAAAAACTTTTTTCCTCTTGCCCAAGACAGTTAGTCAGGATTCTGGTTTGAAAATGACAGAAGCTGAGTTCCAACAAGTTTAAACAACAAAGGACATTTATTGGTTTATGTGACTGGGGAATCAGGAGGGGTTAAGTGTAGACACAGCAAGATCTAGGAGTTCAGACAAGATCATGGAGCTCAGACTCCCTCTCCCCCATTATTAGTCTTGCTTCTTTTTATGGTTAACTTGACTCTGAAGACAAAGCTCTGCCCAGAAGTTAAGATGACCACTCTCAGCCAGTCAAAGGATGCAGTCTTCCTGCTGGTAGGAAAGTCTCAGAGGTGATTGATCGGACTTAAAACTCATCACTGTGTCTGAGATACTGGGATCCTCTGATTGGCCAGCCTGGGTCACAAGCCCACAGTGTGGTGTGGTGTGGTGTGGTGGACCACGTGGAGTAGGGGACAACAGGTTTCCCAAAGGATGGAAGACGAGCAAACTACAGGATGTATCCACTCATCCACCACCTGCTCTTCTAGTCTTTACCTACACAAACTCAGTCTGTATATGGTTGTAATTATAGAACAGATAAATGTGTACAAGACACTCAAGATCATAACAACATAAACATCATATGTGGCTTCATAGTTTTCATTTTAGTCAGTGTGTAACTGTCCATGAAGGGAGACACCAGGTAATTGAAGCTATGGGTTTGGATGAGATCACCTAGGGAAGATGGTAGAGAGTAGCAGAGGGTCAAGAGAAAGTCCTGGGTAAGACAAACATGTAAGGGGTTGACAAAGCCGAGTAGAGCCCCTGAGAGACGTAGAAAAATAGGCAAACTAGAAACCAGAGGAGGAGGAAGTTTCTAAAAGGAAGGATGGAGAATAAAAAATAGCTGGAGAATGTAAAATTCAGAAAATGCTTCTAAAGTGGGGTGACATGGACATTAAGTCCGGGCAGTGTCAGAAGAGGTGACTTGTCCCAGGTCCTACAGCCAGAAAGGTACAGAATTGGCAACAGAACTCAGGTATTCTGGACGTTTTTTGACACCGACTGTCTGCAACCACGGATAAAGCTGAGGTGGGCAGTTGTGCTGTGGAGACAGGACAAGAAGCCAAGCCCTGGTCGCCTAATGAAGAGGATTTAGATTGGCTACTGAGAACTACGTACAAGGTTATAAAGGGCTGAAATGACACCTGATAAAACTGTGGCTTATTTTTAGGGACCACTTGAAAGCAGGGGAGCCGCAAGGCACAGACGGGGGGATCCAAAGACAACAGGCCAAACGGCGTGTGGTGGGGTCTCTCAGGCCAGCAGTAGAGCCATCGGGTTCTTTTTTCATTGCTGAGATTGATTCACCTTACCGTCCCACTGGATGCCAAGGAAACAAAATACCCAAAGCCATTTATTTGTAATTTTTTTTAATTTTATGTCCTTGCTCACATGGAGAGGAAAAGGCAAAGTCCAGGGACTAGCACAAGATGACGTGTCTTGGATGTGAGTGGTATGAAGGTGACGCTGGGGCTCTGTGAGGATACGGAGGTGGGGGCTGCGGAGGTGAGAAAGAGGGAGGGGACAAGGGCCGGGCCCAGCGCGGGAAGAGGGGAGAGCAGCAGCGGCCCCATCACAGGTTCACCATCAGCCAGTCCAGCAGCTGCAGCCGCATGACGTTGCCCACCGCCTCGTGCAGCTGTCGTTCCTTCTCATAGCACAGCACCGACTGCAGAACCTCACCTACGCTGCGCCCTTTGTCCACGGCGGCTGCCGAGAGCTGACGTAGCTGAGGGAGGGAAGGAAAGCAGTGGCGGGTGGCAGAGCATCCCACCGAGGGCGGGGAAGGGCTGCCAAGGCGAGGGCAAAAGGGCCCCTGCAGCGGGAGGGCCTCGAGGGAGACACTGAGGAGATGTCCACAACCGGGGCGCTCACTGGCCCGTCTGACAGAAGAAAGGTGGTTACGTCGCCCTTAATTTAAGTAACCTCCCCCTTGTCCGTGATATGGAAAATGTGATTTCCCACTAGGACTAAAAACTTCCGGCTTCCAGTGGGTGTTTGGTCAATGGTGTTCTTGCCTTCTCAGGATTCTAAAGTTCTTAAGTTCACTGTAACATCATAAAACGGGCTCCATCATTGTCCCAAGACTGACAAGG